TGTTAACTGATTACGTTAACTGGGTACGTTAACTGATTACGTTAACTGGGTACGTTAACTGAGTACGTTAACTGGGTACGCTCACTGGGTACGCTAACTGGGTACGTTAACTGGGTACGTTAACTGGGTACGCTAACTGGGTACGTCAACTGGGTACGTCAACTGGGCACGGTAACTGGATACGGTAACTGGGTACGTTAACTGGGTACGCTAACTGTGGGTACGCTAACTGGGTACGTTAACTGGGTACGTTAACTGGGTACGTTAACTGGGTACTTTAACTGGGTAAGTTAACTCGGCACGTTAACTGGGTACGTTAACTGGGTACGTTAACTCGGCACGTTAATTGGGTACGTTAACTCGGCACGTTAACTGGGTACGTTAACTTGGCACGTTAACTGGGTACGTTAACCGGGTACGTTAACTGTGTACGTTAACTCGGCACGTTAACTGTGTACGTTAACTCGGCACGTTAACTGTGTACGTTAACCGGGTACGTTAACTGTGTACGTTAACTCGGCACGTTAACTGTGTACGTTAACTGTGTACGTTAACCGGGTACRTTAACTGGGTTTTTATGATTTATGAGGTATTTCATTTTAGAGTATATAAATTATACTATTTCTAAAAAAAAATATCAAAAGTCATTAATTAATCTAAATCAAATTTGAAAATTAAAGAGAATTAGTTCTAGATTTCCTTCTCTTTGAAAAATAGTTTTAAATAAGCAGCACTGTGTTCTTTATTACTGACTTTGACGGGCAAATAATCCAGACCAAGCAAGCCAAGCATTTCTCCCGACGGCTAGTTTTTTTTTTTATATTTACTTTGAAAGGTCTTTGGTCAAGTCACTTGGCAAACCAGTCATGTGTTTAACTGTGAATGACTTTCCCACCTGCCTAGRACTCGTAGGGGGCTGGCCTTCTCAGGGTATTTCTTTTGTTTCACCAGGTTTTTCGTTTTGAAAAAGAATAACGGCTTCTGAAATTTCATTTTTGGTTGCATCAATAAACAAAAGGTGGCATACAGTTCTTGATACATTGCAAGTGTAAGTCGAGTTGCATATATCCAATACATACCTACACGTCAGATATAAACAGTGGACTTCGGACCTCAAATCTAAACAACTCGTTTTTATTTATATTAGAGATTAGACCAGTATGTTGCATTTCGATTGTAAGCAACCATTCCACATAGAAAGCAACACGGAAAATTATCCCGTCGTTTTCAATCTACTTCTGAAAAGTTTTGGTTATAATCTCCGTTCTTCAATCAATATTTACTTTTTTTAATAAAAGAAGTTAAATTGGAAATAAGAGAATATATTTTCTTCTTTACATTCGGCTAATCCAATATTTTTTCTTTGATCAACCTTTACCTATCCGATTAAATGTGTTAATATGTAAGCAAAACGAAATTATTCGCTCTATTTTAATACTTTGTTTTTTATATAGTTTATTTTGCAAAGCATAKTCAGATTCTTTTGGCAATCACGTTTATTTTCTCTTTCTGTTGGACATTTTATTTCTAAACTWTCGTTTGATCAAATTTGCACTCCTAATTACCCCCAACATATAAATAAAGACCATATTACACTTATTTTTAAATCCTATTTTTACGTCTGTAATGTTCAGATTATTTATTCGGATTTCATTGTCAGTTTTGTGCCAGCTTCCCTCATTCTATGAGTATTTGATTTAGGGAATACCGACATCCTTTTTAAAACTGACACAGAAAAGCTTATAACCTTTTTAAGTGTCGTCAACAAAGTGTCTCTTTTTGTCCAGACCCATTCAAGTGGATAATTACCCGGTGTGTGGAGCTACAAACAATAATTTTAAAGACTAGTAAATCAACTTTGAAAAGAATCATACATGACAACTACTCGAGAAGCTTTAGAGAAGCTGTGGCGCAATCATGTAAGAGTTTAACCCCCAATCCTTGACAAACACCTCYCTTAAGTAGAACCCAACGTTYGTCACTTGGTCTTGTTTTAATAAATAAAGCTGRTCTTGTGAAAATAGATAAAAAAGCTGATGTAAACATTCTTTTTTTACATTCTACTATAATAGCAGCTTCTTTTCTAGTACTTTTGAGAATGAAAGAAAACGGTTTTGATTTTTTTTCTTTTTTTTTGTTGATCTTATGGAGCAGTTCATTTAACGTGAAGTACCGGGCGCACTGTTTAACCAAGCGAAGTGGATAATTTAGTCATTAGAGGTTACCACCATTTATCCAACATCAATAATAAATAAGTTCCTTGGTCTTATTCAGGGGAGTCCATTAAATCTTGACAGTTTATAGACAAGAGAACAACAGACAGAGTTCTCATCTCACGGGACTCTTTTGTAGTTTAGTTTGGAATTAGTCCATCCCAGTCCCTATTGAAACTACTACTAAAGTTCCATTTTATGAAATTTTCAGCCTGGCATACTCTTTGATTGTGAATCTTTTGGGTCAAAGATCAATCCGTGTGAAAACTGCCCGATACGTATCACAAACAAACGTTCAAGAACGTTCACCTTGACCGTCATGGCAGAAGGCGAAAGTCTGTGGTCAGGGGAGATCGAAAAAAGTTTCCAAGAAGCTTTGGCKATTTATCCGCCATGTGGTCGACAAAAGATCATGTTATCAACAAAGGACAAGATGTATGGTCGTAACGAGCTTATCGCTCGCTACATCTTGATGAAAACGGGTAAATTAAGAACTCGAAAACAGGTTGCCAGCCATATTCAAGTATTAGCGAGGAAGAAGATCCGTCAAATTCAATGTAAGATCAAAGATAAACATCACTACGTGGCCAATAGTGTTCAAGAGATGATGAATATGTCGTCTGCAGAAATTCTTTCTCCCACTGTCCAACCATCGACCTTGACAAACAATGATTCTTTAGATGAGTTTCCTCCTAGTCTACATCATATCCCATCGTACCCTAGCGCGCATTATCCTCCGAGCTGTCATCGGGAAGGAATCAGTGAACGCAGTCCAAGAGAACGAATTATCGAGAAGGTATCACCACATTCCCCGCCGCGATTRCAGTTCCCTTCTGACGATGAACCTCCCATGCTCCATCAACCGCGCGTACTTCCAAGTCTAGAAAGAGCAAGTTTACGAGAAAGTGCTTTCCAGAACACTTTGAATTGGGAGGTTCCTGATATTACGGCTGAAATACAATCGAGTTACGCAACCACGATGTCTAGTTCAAGCACTGTTGTAGGCCGCTCGTGGCAGCTGGAAAACGAGCGCAGSTTTGAGATCAAATGTAAAGAAGAATATATGTCTCCTCCAGCCTGTTCTGCCRTTGGATCGACGCAGACACGTGTACACGAAACGCCTTCATTTGAGGACTATCTTTCACTGGATGCCGATCAAACCTGCCCGTCTATAGACTTCTCGGGGATCTAAACACAGCCATGTCTATATTGTAAGTTTAATGACTTAATTTTCCATAATGTTAGCTGGGTAGAGATTTGTAATAGACCTGTTATAAACAGAACTCTTAACGACGACCARTAAAGACAATTGATTATATCGAGGGSGCCAGCCTGTTGAATGCAACATATTTCACTATAAGGTTGGCYAAGCGACATTTTCTTAAAAGCCGGAGTTCTATATATGGAGGTCTATTTTACATAAGTTTACCCAATACCTTATATACAGATTTAACAATGCATATTAATTCTTCTATTTATTATCAACTAATTCAATATAACATGCTACGACGTGCCATGTTCACTTAGCTTATATATCATATAACATATATTCTCGATTTCGTTTGGAAATTCTAAAACTCTCCTTTTTGGGATAATTCTCACTTTAACTATCCCAATCCCACTCGAACTCCATGTCTTGTATAAATTCTGGTCTTCTCGGATTGTTCTCATGAAGTTCGAACCTCAGAGGTGTTCCCATGGCACCATGGTACAGTTCGTCTTAAAGAGAGCATTCAGTARATGTCTGATAATCTTTTCAAACAATTCAATCCCAGTTTTTTTTAAGTTAACAGTTACAATGTGGAGGTAAACAATTTGTTTAACTCGGTCCCATGCTGGTGACCATACGTGTGTACTGGAGACGTTGAATCCCCGATATGTTATTAGTTTATATTCATTCGGCGACACGCTGTTGTATCTAATTTTTTAGACATTCTTCAATCACTACGGTAAGGGCGGAGTTATAGCTAAGAACTCGTTATTTGTAAAGTGCCCGATGATACACCATAATTGAGGAAAGTTCGAGAACAACCACTCTTAGGTTTGCGTCAAACCAGTCATCGAAACACTGTATAACAGATTCGTAGCTTGTAATAGCATTAATTCTTATAAGACAACTATATTTCTTATACTTTTAGGGCCTATTCGTTTGAGCTTTAAAACGCGTTTTTTTTTATATTTTGAGTAGGGTTAAGTTTACAGGTTTTATCGCTTGGCCAATTTACCTGTTTGACGTGTCGGGCATTCTGTCAGGAGCCATGCTGGGCACACGAACAAGACAATAGAACACTAGTAGGAACAATTTGTAACTACTATGGTTGTCAGCGTGTTTTTTTTTATTTATCTCTGTTTTCAGCACCTGTATAGCTCGAGTTTGCCTCGGAATCTCAAAGCGTGGATTGATTTAGGAATSGCATTCTTCTAAATGGCTTTAAGACCTCACAGTTTTTTTTCTCCAGCGTAAAAAGTATATCTAATTWAATAAGTTGTTTGCTGTTTTCTCGAATCCCAATGAAGTTGGTTTTTGATAGCCCAACCTGTTTAGTGTTGATTTTTAAAAACCCGACGGCTTTGCTTGATTTCACAAAATATCAGAATTCATGAATTTTGTTTTATTCTTGTGTTTTTGACTGGGTTCATTGTCTTGTTTTTGTTTTTATTGTTGTGGTCACCAAAGAAACCAAATGGAAGTTCTTTAACGACGGAAGCTTGAATTTTTAAGACAGCAAACCAATAGGTATAAAGAACTGATTGCTCTCTGTCTATTAGATACACCTATTTCAAAAAACATTGTCTGGAAAACGGCGATTGTCGAAGGGTAACCTGAATATCAGGCCTTCGAGGGAGYCTTCTCCTTCCGATTTTTCTCCCCGATACTCAGGTTAGTCGAAGGGAGATTGCTTGACCAAAAYCAATTTACAATGTTTTGACAAATAAAATAAATTTCACTTATTGGATTCATCTTGCATAGAAATGGTGACTAAATAGAGCCAATGTATACCACAGACTGTCTTACAGTACAAATCACTTGTTATTCAWTTAGCAAAACCCATAACTACTTTCGGTCGTGCAATCGCCGTTCGACAATTGACATTCGCCATTTTATCTGACAATTTTTTTTTAAATAAGTATATATCAGTTTGCTTTTAATGATCAAATGATTTTAATCATTTAAAAATACCTCTTTGCATAAATTCTGTTCYCGGTCATTCTTCTACTTATTTTTTAAGTCTTTCATATAGTAGCATAGAATTTCCCTTTCTATGTACAAAGAATTTATAATTTTTAAGCTGTTTTTATCTTATTTAAGCATGAAGATAATTTTCCGTAGTCCAGTCCCAGACCCTTTTACCGGCTCCATTGATCTCATCAATCGAGTGGGATAACAGGAGACTGGGACTGGACTAAAAGTATCCATGCTGGCATGGGCACGTAAAGTTGAGTCTATGTAAATTTGTGCTAGGGTTAAGCCTCGTTCACACTAACAACGCAAGCGCAAACCAAAAATGTCATACGTCATAATGAATAATAATTTTATTTCTTTTTCCTGCGTGCTTTGCTTTGATCATAGAATCGAAGTGCAACCCATGCGCATGTCAGGTGACCAATCGGACCAATCAGAACCGTGCGTTGCCATTCGTCCTCCTCCTTAGAGGAATTCGCTATGAATTACCCCTTGTGTTTGTGCTTGCGTCGCTAGTGAAGACCAGACTATAGATGAAATACCTTTAMTTGATACTTTTTCCAAGGAATAATATTATAGCAAAGGATAAACTTCCGTGATAKATCGGTGCTTGAAATAAAGCACACAGAAATATTGAAGTATTGCGACTGCATCTGTCTTCAGCGGCCAATGAACACAACATTATAGCAGTTAATCTTAAAACGTAGCAGTTCGTTAATTATCCACTTCCTTCGATAAATTATCTATTGAATTGTCACAAAAGGCCTTGTTTAAATGTCGAATCTCTCATTTGCGTGATTCAGTGCCATGAGATCTTAACATTAGAGTTAGCTTTCCTACCATTTCCGCACATTGATAGGCCTACTCGTGTACAAAAGAATAACGGATTGTGGTCTCGCTTTAGTACAAAGTTTTGACATAATATTTTGCCACATAAACAAAAGGTGTTTGTACCGATCCTAGACTATAATGCAACGCGAAATGCTATTTAATAAAAGGTATCTCCAGAAAAAATTAAAACACAAAGAACAAAAAAAATGTCTAAACAATAGCCTTACAAATTTGAATTTTTGCCGATTGGATGCTCAGCCTGTACTTTCCCAGAATGCTAAAACATTGGTTTGGAATAGCATGCTTAGCCTCAAATCATAGAAATTCAGATTGGTAGGGCTATTGTTATGAATACATTTTGGTGCGCAAGAGAGTCGGCTGTCAAATCAGTAATTATCAGCGGTCACTCGATTTGGAAAGAGACTTATTCAGTGCAAATGACGGCAATCTCTCTTGTGTTAATATCTCATTTGTATTGAATCAGATCTGACATATTCAGAGGTCCTGGTTACTGTAAAAATACATRCTTGTGAACGAGGCCTAAAATAGTACCGCCAATAATGGGAACAGGGAAATAAGGAAATATATATTTTCATAAATATAGTTTTTGCATTTAGAGTCTGAAGCTCGTGATTCATACAATACAATTGAAACGAAAATWTGCCAAATAGTGCATTCAGTACCTGTTAAATTACTCAGTGATATACTTCCTTAGATTCATTTTACACTCTTTGAAGTGGCTGGACCATTAGCACTTTTTAAAAGATTTCACGCCGAGAATTGATTTRAGCTTTTATGTTTCTTTGAAATAAAGAAASGAAATTATCCACAATACCTAGAAATTGACWCGGCATGAARTCACAATTGTGGCAATGTGTACTGGCGTTATCTTTATACAGAAAAGCATGACGGGAGATGTASTTCTCGAATTTTTGTGTTTTTTATTCTTGGAAATGATCTTCCGAATCAGTTTCTTTGTCTTTTACAGAAACGGAAAAATTAATTGCATCTTTACAATGAAAACACGAAAAAAGATTTTGTRGAGTATTTTAACAAAAAAGCASRAGGACTACATGTACCGTGATGCTTTGCTCGATAAARTTTCGACGCCTCATATTACATATTAGCATGCAGACTTCGTTTCTAATGTAAGCACTGTATAAACGATGTAAAAATTGTTTTTTTTATTATGTAGGCATGCAGTAATTGCGCTTTTTGTTATTTTAGAATGCTGCGCAACTATTTATTCATTATGTATCATTATTATTCACATTGTTATCAAAGAAATAATAAAATATTAATAAGATTTGTGTTGTTTCTACGAGGCAATCCTCTAGGGTGTACATGATATGGACAAGAAATAGAAAACTAGTTAAACGTACAGTCCATGTATAGGCGTCCGTCTCAATCGTACAAAAACACGCATTTGCATTGTTCTAGTTTTCTCAAGGGAATTATCAACAATACAAAAAGTTTATTTTGTGGYGATTTCGACGATTATATAGATATGAAATCGTGCGGTGATGGTGATGTGTTCTTGAATCACGTTTTCACTACCAGGCGAGTTTCCGWKACCGTGTCATGTGCGTATTGTGATCCGTGCTCTTTGCCCTAAGCAAAAAAAATCGCGGCAAGTGCGATATACCGGGCATATTAGATAYTAGGATATTGGTCGACGGAGGATCTTGATCTGGCTAAGGGGAGATTTTGCGGCATAAGGAATGTTTAAGTGTAATGTTGATCCAATATGGTGGCTTGTATTCCGCGAGAAACCCACTCCCCCCCCCCGCCCAAAAAAAATATATAAATAAATCATTAATTAATTTTATGCTATCATTTCCTGTATTTTAAGCGCGTTCATTCAACTGAAATTCCATATGTTTACAAAGTTTAGATCATTCACAAATATACGCAAATATCTAAAATTTGAAAATGATTTGTCCAATCCAGAGTACAATTTCGATGTAAGACATTGTGAACTTCATAATATGAACCTAAATAMTGACAAACACCACAGCACTTAGTGACCATTTCACACCACATATCTATGGTGTGATCCAAGGCATGCTTCCGCGACCAACTGTTTAACGAGCGGGCTAAAAAGGGTGTCGGACTAGACTGTGCGAACGGGTAAAAGCTACTATTCGCATATGTGCGCCATCGCCACGTAAATTACCGGGCACTGCGTTTATCTTCCGTTGTCTCTATTGGTGGACAAATTGTTGCACAGTTATTAATTAACACACTATTAATAAAGTGGCTCTCTATTCAGTGGTTGCTCGATAAAGCCGTAACTCATGAATTTCCTAAAAATTGATTCTCATATATTTACTGTAAACGTGGCCTTTACTAAACGACGATCCATATCTATTATCGTCTGGTCTYTCCATTATTGTTGTATGCGCACTGGTAAGGTACATTCAGATGAGGTGATTTTTAGTTTAATAATTCTAGGCAGAACGAGGCGAACAAAGCTCTAAGTACTTTCTTAATTTGGAAAGASAAAGGAAAATGAAAACACATGTGCGTAAGATAAAAAAAAAGAGAACGGCGAGGAAATTGCAGAAGCAACTGAAATTTTAGAAATAATTAAAACCTTCTATGGCGATTTATATTCCAGAAGGAATGTAGTAAGTGAGGAAGAATGTCTTAGATTTATTGCAACAATCGACGTGCCAAGATTATCAGTGGAAGAAAGTAAGAAGTGTGATGGTGTTTTATTTAAAGGGAAAGTCTAAAAAATATGGGAAATAACAAAACCCCAGGAAACGATGGCCTAACCAAGGAGTTCTATTTAGCTTTTTGGGAATCCCTGAGTGACGACATGATTGATAGCTTTAATTTTAGTTTAAAAAAATGGAAAACTTTCAATGTCTCAACGACAAGTAACTTTGACACTATTAGAAAAACAAAATAGAGATACACGCTATTCTAGAAAACTGGAGACCAATCAGCTTAATTAATGTAGACGTAAAAGTCTGTAGTAAAGCCATAAGTGAAAGAGTTAAAACGTTTCTCCATCAGTTGGTTCATCCAACTCAAGCGGCTTTCGTTAAGGATAGAAATATTGAAGAACCCGTTCGTTTTATTGCCGACCTAATGGAATATTGTCTCGAATATAAGGAATCCTATATTTTATTCGCAGCCGATTTCCTNACTCATGACGCCTTCGACGAAGTCAAAGCAGTCTACTTTGCAGACGATGCCACCTTTTGTGTAAAAGACATTCATTCTCTGTACATAATCGTGCAAATTACGGAACAATTTAAATCCTTCTCTTCGCTGGAATTGAATTTAAGTAAATCTGAAGTCGGTTGGATTGGTCCCACTAATAATATTGCATTACCATCATCAATTAAAAAGAAAATTGATTTCCATAAGGATGGCACAAGGATTCTGGGTGTTTATTTTTCTCATAACAAACTTTAAGGTAAATGCTACACAAATAATATTGAAAGACCCTTTCAAAAATTTAAATGGTGGGGAGAATGCGAAGCCTAACGTTATTTGGGAAAACAGTGGTGGTACGATAGCTTGCAATGTCTGTTCTATTATATGTTTTCTCTAAGGTTCATGTCCCTAATTCAATCTATAAAATGATAAAGGAAGAAATACTTTTATTTCTTTGGAAAGGAAAAAAGGCAAAAATCAAATATCCAACCCTTATTGGGGATAAAAACGATGGGGAGATAAAACTCCCGGATATTGAAGTAGTTGTGAAAGCTAATAGAGCACGCTGGGCAAGTAAACTTTTGAGTGAAGCTGACAACAGACGTTATTGGATGGTATTTGCAAATGTATTTTTACGAAAAGTTGGTGGTTTTAGTATWTTGGSCGAAAATCTAAATGCAAATAAACTTTTAGAGGCGCTATCTTCAATTCCGAAATTCTATATCGAAATTATTAAATCTTGGGAGGAAATAAGTAAAACTGAGGTAATWACGGAGGAGGAYATTTTAAAGCAACCGATTTGGTTTAACAGGTATATCAATATTAACGTTGAAAATGAACATATTAGGAGTCTCAGGGATATTAAGGTACTCTTTCTTAAAGATATTTCATTATTTGACCTTGATTGGCATCACATGAAAGAAAAGGGATGCAAAGACATACACTATCTCATTTGGAGGGGTGTTATCGATGCGGTTCCACGGGATTGGAAAAGTAAAATTAAACTTTGTGTCAATAATATCGAAGTAGATACATCACAAAGATATCTTGATATACAGGGGAAACAATGCCGTATCTCTAAGATCAGCAGTAAAATGTTCTATTGGCAAATGATAAAARCTGTTTACGAAAAACCTACATCACAAYCATACTTTGTCAAGGAATTWGATACMAAGGACATTGAGTGGGRAGTTGTTTACAATAGACTATATAGAACCACTTCAATTGTGAAAATGAGAGCTTTTCAATATAAACTCTTGAACAATTGTCTTTTTTTAAATCAAAAACGTTTTCGTTTTAGAATCGTTGAATCCCCTTTATGTAGTTTTTGTCTCAACCATGAAGAGACAATCAAACACCTTTTTACCCAATGTCCAAAAGTTAAAAATTTTCATTACACATGTAAAGTATGGTATTTTGGTGCATGAGAAAAGCGCGCAAAGGTTCTTGGGTGCATGTGGGTCTTAAAGAAAATTAACCTGAATAAACAAGAATCATTATTTTAAAAGTTTCTAACCATACTTTACATGTGTAATGAAACTCTGTCCAATATTATCTTAGGTTACTGTGATGATTTAGTTGTAAATTTCCTCTTCCTARTTTTTWATTTTTCAATTCAAGGATAAGGGGAAAATTAACCTCTTTRCATGAATTTAAACTCGACGTTAAGCAAAATATGAAAATTGAATATAACATAGCTATGAGGAATGCAGGGTTGACTGCGCACCGCAAAAAAATTGCAAATTTACAACACGCTTTAGAAAATTAGTTTTTTTTAASTGAAAATGTTGACCGTTAAGTAATCAATGAAAAACAAACATTTATTTAGTTGTAAGTACCCCCAACGCCATTTTTTGTGTGTGCAGGCACGTGTACTTTTGTTGTCATTGTGTTGTTGTTGTTGTTTCGTTTTTGTTCTTCCCCTGTGCACTGTTATTTCTTCTATCCTTTTTTAAATGATAATTTTGTAATAATAATGTATACTCTAAAGAAAATGTTATTGAATGTTATTGTTATTCAGTGCACTGTAGTGTAGTGTAATTTAATGTCTTTTTGTAGGTAATAGTTGTAGTTGTTTACCTATTTTTTTAAAAAAAATCTTGAGTAGCATGCTTAGCATGCTATCCCTAGCCTCCTCCACAGGCAACTCTTTTTTCCTCCTTTGGGCTTCCTTTGTAACGGTCATTTTGGCCGTTAGGGACTAGTCCCTTTTCTCGCCCCCATTCTCCCTCTTTTGACTCATCAAAAAGACAGGAAACCCGTGATTCTTAGTGATGCCTGCGGAGGAGGCTATGCTATCCCCTAATTGAAAATTATTTTTGCAATTCTACTATTTATTCCTACTCTGTCATGTTTAAAATAAAATACAAAAAAAAAAATTCTAGGCATCATAGACAGAACTGTTAGATATGATGGAAGGAAATAGAAATAAGAACATTGTTGATGTGCATGCTATCTTTTATTGCATCACTTAAAAGTGCTTATCATTCTCCCCATTTTTATTAATCAATAAATTCGTGCTTGTTTTATTGTTTAGCCAAAAGTCAAATGTGATGTTTTACGTGATGCTTTGTTTCATGATTCAGTTGGTATACGGTATGGGTTTGCCTTCCAGGTCAGTTTTGAATTCACAGTTCCCRCGAAGAAAAGAACAGTGACCAACTTTGGCTGTCTCTTCGGTGGTTCTCTTATGGATCTCCTAGGGGGATCAAAAATATTGAGAAATATCAATGTTGTAATTCAGACAATAGACGTGTTTTTAAAAACACGTTTCACTATTTGAAGRAAGAATGCAAGGGACTCGCTCTCGATCCCTCTTTTGCTCAGGATAGAGGGCCGTCACAGGGCGAACGTCTCCTCCCCTCTCCCCCATTTAGTTTCGAATCCGAGTCAAAAGTTGAGTTTCTCTTTTACGCTGTATTAGCCTCAATTGCATGTGCGTGCAAAATATTCAGACATTTTGATAAAAATCGTATTCAAAATATTTCCATTTTCTTCTATACTCACTGATGTCTTTCATTTGCACGGGCTGTTAGTGAATAAAAGAATTTATTACATGGTTTTGAGGCTAACCAAGTTAAAGAGATCGCTAAAAGGAAATATTATATGATATTCTACTTCTAGATAACACTAGATTACTTACTTGCAAAGCTTTGTTAGCTTTAGCTTTAGCAACTTTGGACTGGCCATGCTGGTCGMGCATTTCTCCTAGTTTTGCTTTTATCTCTCCTACATCCTTCAAATTCTTGAAGGGGCAGCCATCCTGGAATGCTGGGCATCCACCACCAAGTCCTTTTACCATGTCCTCATGTTCTTTGTCAAAGACAGCAAAGTGCTTCTTCAAAAATTCCACGGTTATGGTTTCAGGGGCCTGGAGTGAAATATTAGATAAATTGGTTAAATCGTTCACGTCTTAGCCGTAGACAAACAGCATCATCACCAACATACCACATATTGGCCATTCATGTCAGTCTTGAAGCAACAGCCATTCTTAAAGAAAGGACAATGGCCACGTTTAAGGACTTCTCGACCAGCGGCTTCATGGAGAAGCTAGATATGAATAATAATACAAATATAAATTCACTGCTTAATGAAATAAACAATAAATAATAAATGACCTATTGCAAACAATGAAAAAAGAAATTCTCTGTCGTCATAATGATGTAGTAAGAGTAGTAAGAGTTTTGTATGAGATGGGAGGAAGGAAGGAAATACATATAACAGAAATATATTGATTTATTGCATCTCCACCAAGTTTTTCAGTTTTCATAATTTTGAATAAAGAAGCACCGTTTGTTGTTTTCCAATTCCCGAACGGCTTTCTGAAACAAAATGAGCTTTTCAAATTGTCTTTGTTTACTTTTCATGGCATTCCTAATGAATCTAATTCATAAGTTTTATAAGTATGTTATCTTCGAAGGAATCGCATCAGAAACTCGGTGGTGTAATGGTATAAGACGGCGCATTTAGATTGGACGGTTCGGGATCGTTTCGTGAGGGAGTCATTTATCAAAGACCTTTTTTCACTAAAGTTTCACTTAAGTTGATTATTTCTAATACTTTGATTATCATTAGCTAGTAGTAGTTAGAAAAAGCTAGAAGTAACTAGAAACAAGGTAGAAGTAACTGGAAATAAGATAGAAGTAGCTGGAAACAAGTTAGAAGTAACTGGAAATAAGCTAGAATACAARGTAGGAGTACTTCCTCTGGTATCCAGTTACTGCACGTGGTACAAATTACAATCAGGGATTGGCTGGATACCTCATTAATAATTAATGAGTATGAGAAACTGATATCAACGACTATTTGGGTGTTTATTGATTATTGAAAGCATTTTACGTATCTATATCATAGTAGCTGACTCACTTCTAAAAATGTTTCGAAGTTAGCTTTACCGGCTGCAGTGTATTTATGCTGGTCGCGCATTTCTCCTAGTTTTGCTTTCAACTCTCCTACATCCTTCAAATTCTTGAAGGGGCAGCCATCCTTGAATGCTGGGCATCCACCACCAAGTCCTTTTACCATGTCCTCATGTCCTTTGTCAAAGACAGCAAAGTGCTTCTTCAAAAAYTCCACTGTTATGGTTTCAGGGGCCTAGAATTAAATATTAGATAAATTGGTAATGCCTGACCATACAAATCTTCAACAGCATACCACATATTGGCCATTCATGTCAGTCTTGAAGCAACAGCCATTCTTAAAGAATGGACAATGGCCACGTTTAAGGACCTCTCRACCAGCGGCTGCATGGAGAAGCTAGAAATATGATAAATTAAATAATGAATGAGCAATTAAAACAGCAGACAAAAAAGTGCACTTCAAACAATCAGACAAACCAATGTAAAGAAAAAATAGAATTCTATGTCGTCATCATGAGGTCATGTGACCTCAAAGAGTTTTGTATGCGATGGACTCCCTTAATACGCCATTGTTTCTCCAGGAGAGCCAGATATTCTGAGTAGTTTAAGTCTCTACTTGGGCTTCAATATTTTATAATATCCTAATAATATTAATAATGTTAATATATTGTGCATTCCAGTTTAAGGCTTCAATTATTAATAATATCCTAATTATAATTAATAATGTTGATATATTCTGCATTCCAGTGGAATGTTTATGTGAATATTTATTATTTTGAATAATCAATAATTACGTGGGCTTCCTGTGGAAATCGATAGCGCATGCGTTACAGTCTCAGTTTCCACGGAGATGTCAAAATAAACCAATCAGCGATTTTTGGTAGCGCCTGCGATGCAGATGGAGTGCAGTCTCAGAATGAAAACAAAATGGCTGACAGACGGCGACAAGTTGTCTCGTTTCAAATGGTTCTAAAATGTAGCTAAAATGCTCTAAAGAGCTGAAAATCTTACAAAATAAACTGATTACCATCCAAACGACATGGATTGAGGTATATAATTCAAGATTAGCGGATGATTCGTGCAGAAATGACTGGGCATTTTCTACCGCCTACTCGAAGAGCACTACTTCTTCGTCACACAAGTGTTCGATGTCAAACACAAAATCTTCAAAAATAAGAAATCACATGGATATTT